GGAGGGCGGCTCCCGGGTCGGGCCTCCCCTGGGTACCCGGGACTGTGGGGTCTGGCTGTGGGGTGACGCCCACCTCCCCGCCCCTCGGGATCACGGAGGTGGTCTTGTGTCCTGGGGCTGCGGGGACCCAGGTAAGCCACCTGTAAGGCCTGGACCTGTCTCGGGGCGCAGGGGACGTGGAGAACCTGCGCCTCGAGCTCAGCGTTCGCTGCCGGAATCCCGGTTGCTTCTCTACCCCTAACCTGCCCGGATTCTCCTAGTCTGTGCCCGCAGGGCTGCGCTTCCAATCCGACCTGGCACCAAGGTTTGGGTGAGTGTGCCTCCTCGCTTTTCTACCTAGGACAGATTGTTTGGAGATCCAGTAGCAGATTTCTGGGGCTGAGAATTCGGGGACAGGGAATATTTGATAACCATCCTGCTCCTGTACCAGGAAGAGAAATAATCTAATGAGGAAGTAGTAAGCTATGAGGGTTTTCTTGGATGAACTTACTCTTGGTATTTTCCACCTATGAAAGTGTTTAGGTTTTCCATTTTAATGTGGTTACAAAAGGTGAGACTTTGAGAACCTGTTCAGAATATTTCAGTTTGTACAGATTTTAAAATGTGTTTAAATAAGCTTAATGGGTCAACTCGGAAATTAGTTTCTGAAAGCCGAAGAGCCTCTAATTGCTTTGTTTTGGGTCATAACCTAAAACTCCTTTTGTTTTATCCAATTGAATTTCATTACTGTACATTGAGAGACATTTTATGTTCAAAGAAGATAATAAAACTGTTAAAAACATTAAAAATATGATAGTTTTGATTCTCGTCATAACTTTTTTTTTTTGAATCAGTTGGTTTCCTGCCAGTACTGGTCATTTTGCAGACCTTGACAAATAATAGGTAAATGCTCTACTTCCCGTTCTTGCAAGCGCCTACTTTGGGGACTTCAAAACTATAGTCGTTACTGAAGCTTGGTGATTATTTTCCCTCTTCTGTGTGTTCTGAATTACTTGTGCTTATCTTTATCTTGCACTTAGAACGTTCATACTTTAACTCTCTTTTTCTTCTGCTAGATTGTGAATACTTTCAGGGATGTGACTTAGTAATCCCTGAAGTCTCCATGCCTGGTACATAGGAGGGGCTAAAATGTGTAATTAAAAAATAAATTAATGGGGGACTGGCAGGTGGTGTGGTGATTAAGGACCCCACATGACTGACCATGGTTCAAGTCCCGGACCTGGTGGCTTACTTCCTCACTTTCTCTCTCTCACTCTCCCTCTCTGGTCATATTAAAATTAATAAATAAAGTTAAATGAAAATAATTCTTAAAAAATAAATCAATGAGATTATTAGATGGCAAAATGGTTATGTTGCTGGACTCCCATGTAGATAACCACAGTTTGAGTCCTGGACCTTGAAGCTTGAAGCTCACGCCAGGTGCATGTGTGTGTGTATGCCCAAAATCCTGAGAAGAGAATGGAAAAGAAAGGTCAGTGGTGTGGCCATCACCCTTGGAGGGTGATTTCTCACTTTCTGTCTCTCTGTCTCTCTGGCATGCACATGTGCCCTATGGCAAAAGTCTCTCTAAAAAAAAAAAATTGATAAACCTATTTAGACACTCACTGAAACACATTGATTGGGGGGGTCTGTTAATGTTTTATAAGCTTGCAGATACTCTAAACTGGGCTTTATATGGACAGATTTATATTACATTTGAATAAAGTTGATAGAATTTTTTTGAAACCTCTAATGAATAGTCTTTCTTTGTGTCCTCTTGATCGAAGAAATGACTTGGGAGGGTATTTCTTATTACTTTGTGAGAAGTGTGTTTATCAATGAAAACCTAGTGCTGACACCTATCTTGAGGAAAAACTAATAATATTCAATGACATTATGCTCTATTTAGTCTCATACAGTATAAAGAAAACAGGAAGTTTCTAGACATTAGGGCTTAAGTATGATTACTATTTTATCAAATCTTCATTAAAAAAAAATGTATGTTGGGGGGCTAGATGGTGGTGCAGTGATAAAGTGCAATGCTCTGCTAGGTAGTTCCATAAGGGGAGGTTTCTAGTTCAAGTCTGGAGACCTCTCTGAGTACGCTGGGAACCTGTCATGATCTGGGACTGACTGAAGGCTGGGATAGATTGTGAATGAAGACTGTTAGAGATGCTGTCTCTCTGTCTCTCTCACTTAGGGCAGAAATAAATATACTTAATAAATATACTTTAAAAATACAAATATTTTTAAAGAGAAAGTATCGGGGGGCCACCAGATGGTGTAGTGGTTACGTCGCTAGACTCCCACATAGCTGACTGCAGTTCTAATCTGGGACTTGATGGCTTAAAACTCACTCTGGGAGCATGTGTGTGGGTGCCCAAGATCCCAGGAAGAGAATGGAGAAGAAAGGATTGCATGTGGCCATCCCCCTGGGGGTGATTTCTCACTTTCCCTCTCACTGTGTCTTCCACCCCCCCCAGTGCACATGACCTAAGGCAAAAAAACAAACAAACAAACAAACAAACTCAAAAAACGGGAAGTATTTTTGTAAGAAGAAAAAAAAGAGGTAGTGTGTATTGAAGAAATTTCAGACAATATAGAAAGGTATAAAAAAGGGGAAAATCATTTTGATGAACAAATTTCTAAATAGCCCCCTATATATTTATATGCTACCAATTAATTTTTTTGTATAAGATTATATTTGTATTTTTCAATTAGTAATATGTCATGAATATCTTTATATGTTCAGTACATAGAAATGTGACATAACTTTAAATGGTTGTAAATATTCTACTTTATATACATACTCTTATTAATTTTTAATCCATATTCAGAATGATGGACATTCAGGTTTATTTTCTTCCCCACCTCCCTTATCTAAACACTCTCCATTAACTCTTTTTGTAGTACTTTGCAAACATACATAAATATCTCCTTGAGGGAAATTCCTAGAAGTGGGATTTCTGGTTTAAAAATAATGCTTATTGGGGCCAGCAGGTGGTGTGGTTAAAAGCACTAGACTCCCACATGGCTGACCACGGTTCAAGACCCAGACCTGGCAGCTTGCTTTCTCACTTTCCCCCTCTCTTTCGCTCATTCTGTCCCTCTCTGGTCAAATTAAAATAAATAAAAACAAACAAATAAAGTAAAAAAATGCTTATTTTAAACACTTTCTATCTTATAATACCTTCTAGAAAAGATATCAGTTTTGTCTCTTTCCCAAATAGAGCATAAGAATGCTTACTTTCTCATCCCTTCTAAAACATTGGGTTTTGGCCATGTGAAAGAAAAACATCTTTATAAAAAAAAGACTTTTTTTTTTTTTTGCTAGAGTGCTCACTAGAGAAAGAGAAGGCACTCCCCAGTGGGGCCTGGTCACGCCTCAGTTCCTTCTCCATTTCTCCATCCTGTCAGGAATTGGGGCAGGCATACACATGTACCCAATTTGTTTACCAGGGGCGGCTATGTAGGATCTGGCTTCCTTGATCACTAGGTCGTAGGCCTGCCCCGATCGTTTTTCTTTACTTTCTTTATTACAGTGAGGTTATATATCTTTTCATATGTTTATTTACCTGACATATTTTTTGGTGTTTTGCCTGTAGCTGATGGTTGACAGCTCAGGGAGAGAAAAATTCGAAGGAGGATGGATGCAAAAGCACGAAATT